CAACCCTTTCCCATTCGACTCCTTCAGAGACAGAGGACTGGGCAGGAGGATTGGAGGGGCGGGGGCGGGCATGTTTCAAAAGCCATCACCTGGGTGGGGGGTGGACAGAAGAAGGAAGTGGGCCTCACTTGTACTTAGGGCACCTTGTCAAGAGGGACAAGGAAGAATTCAAGATCGCTGCCCCAATTGTAGCAGGAGGTATGAGATGCGGGAGAACTAAGCAAGTCAGGAAAAGAGGGAGGGGCGCAGCACCCCAAGACAAGCTTTCAAATACTGCTGAACTACAGTACCCATCATCCTTTGCAATTGGCCATGCTGGCTGCTGGGAGCTGTGGTCCAGCAACATCTGGAAAGCTATAAGGCTCCCCGCTCCCTGCTCTAAGAAGGTGGCAGGCAACTCATAGGACAAGTCCTTCCCATGGATGACAACCAGCTGGCCCACCTCTCTAGGCAGCTAATGTAACTCCAGGCAAAGTCTTCACTGGGGGGTTTCAGGAAGGGGGGTTGAACCCTACCAGAAGACACACACGCACACTGCTTACAGTCAACATTTCCCTCCCAAATTCCACAAGAGATAGAGGCTCAATCTGTGCCTTTCACCGTTTGGCTTGACCAAAGGGTAGGCAAGAGCGTAGCATGGGTTGCCGGTGCCCAAGGCAGGATAAGCAAGTGTTGCACTCCCCTAGTGGACTGGGCAGCGGTCAGTTTTTCACCGTCCAGCATCTAATCAAGGGACTTTCTCCTTGCAAACTAGCTCCAACCTGGGAGCAGGGATGAGGCAGAGAAACACGAAGCTTTGTCTCCTCACTCTCCTGCCCTTGCAGCAAGGCGTTGTGGACCATACACGTGGCTCCGTCAGTGCTTTCCTGCCTTTCTCTTCCTCCCTCCTTGATGGGTGGCACCACAGCCCTCCACTCTTTCCCTCTTGTTTGGCCCAGGGGAGGGACGCTCTTGGGCATCCCTTTGCTGGCCAAGAGGTGAAGAAGGCACCGGCATTGCCCCAGCCCCAAAGGCCTGACCTGGGAATGGATTGTCTCCCTGCAGCTCCAGCTTCTATGAAGGAGCCTGTTGTGGGGGAACCTGGTTGCGCCCCCTCAGAAATTTGCACCTGTGGCCACGGCCCCCTGCCCCTCCACACTATGCCACTGAGGATGGGTTATCTCTCTGTTGACCTACTGTAGTAAGAATGCAAAGTGCCTCCGTGGTTGCTGTAGGCAGACTGCACTTGCCTCGCTGGGCTAGTAGTTCCTCCCCAACTTTTGTGCAGATAGTATGAAGGCTGGCACTGGTGGGTTGGGGAAGCATGTGCCTTTGATGCCCATTCAGCCCTAAGAGGAGTGACTCATGCACATGAGCCCATGAAGTCCCCTTGGACATTGCAGCAAATTGCAATGCCAATTCAGTAAACTATGCATGGCAACTGGGCACTATTATTGGCTATGGAAGGCAAGACTCTGCAAACGCAGAGTGCCCCATTGCTAAGAATTGGTATTACGGTTGAATAGCTACTACGGCCCTAGGCTTCCTCATGCCCACCAATAATGCAAATGCCAGTCTCATCTTTTAGTTCAATGATGGGGCTACTTCCATGTTCACAAAGGAATGTGTGCATGGACTTTGTCCCTTCATGGAAGTAAATGGGGAAACTCTCTGTACATCAGATCCCTCTCCCAAATTCCAGGGTTGTCAAATCGTCAGATCAGAGTGCTTGTTCCTGGAAGCCATTGTGTCTCCCACCAGCCTCTTCTGAAAGGAGCTGAAAGATAATTGTCCTCCCCACACCCCGGCTCCTCCGAGAAGGCTGACCACTCATATTAAGAAATGTGCAAATTTATGCTGTCCCTAACTGGTTTCTCTCACCCGAACCCCTCTCCCACTCCCACTCAAAAGAAAACATTAAATTAAATTTAAAAGAATGCATAGAATGGTCTTTGGTCAGGAGAAAGCATTGTGACCTAGAAGGGATGGTCTACAGGTGAGTTGTGAGCTCTTGTAAACTCAACTTGACCTTGGTCATGCTCTGTGGGAAAATCAGGAGCACAGCCATGATGCAAACGATAGGCCCAAAATGGAAGCACAGGGAGGGGAGTCTACAGGGGAAATAGTGACAATGTGATTTGCAGGCATCTCAGCACTTCCATTGCCCTACCCACTCCCCACTCCAGAGAGCATAGTAAGAACAGTCCTACCCTCCCCCTTGGCTAAGGCCAGACACAAACACTCAGCACTCCCACCCCTTCTGCCCTGCAAGACCCTCAAGAGTGAGGAAAGCAGGGCACAATGCTCCACATACCATCTGAAACTTTCACCCCAGCACCTTCTGTGGCCCACCTCTCCAATCCCACACCACTTCATTGGTGCCCCCTCAACCTCTGGCAACACTCCTGCTCCAAAGAGAATGGACTAGGAGGTTCAAGCCACTTGCCAAAGGGATGGGACGGGGAAAGCAGGTGAAGAGCAGCTTCCAGGGAATGTTGGCACTGTAAACTGAAGCCTGTCCCAACTGGTGTCCTTCTCCCCAGGGGTTGTGGGGTGCTAGGGATCTGCATCTAAACGAGGTCACAATAACAGAGAATCCTCAGAGGCCTCGTAAGACTGCAGTTCCCAAGCTTCCTTGGGGGAAATCAGGACGGCAACGCAGGAGTGAGGACTTGGTTTCAGTTTACAACATGAATGAGGCCTCAGTAAAATGCAACAGCCTCACTAAGGAGTAGAAGAGGCTAAACCAAACCCCTCCTAAGGCCCTTTATGTGCATGGAGAGACAGAGACACGCTTGAGGCAACTGAAGACATGGCTAGGGCTGGGCTGAGAGAGGGGTGGGCTTTTTGTTGTTGTTGTTGTTAGCCTCTTGTGGGTTTTGGCCAGGGAACTCCAAAGAGTTTCACTCCTCTTCCTCTTACTCCCGCTGCGATTGCAACAAGGACCCTCATGAGCTAGGAAGGAGATTGCCAGCAAATCCTAGTTGGACAGAAACAGAACCAGGTGGGGTGGGGTGGGGTGGGATTGGGGAGAAAAGAAGAAGGGAAAAGGAGAGAAGGGAGGCCAGAGACCACTGGGGGGTGGTGGTTGGTTTTGCCCAGTCCTTCCCAGCTTCATCCCTCCATCCCTCCTCTTGTCCTGTTAGACATAGCAAAGGTACAGATAGGTCTTCTCTATCCTCCAGTCGGTGGGGATCTCTTCCGGCTTGTGGCCTTTCATGTGCTTCTGCATGGCAGAAAGACTTGGGCAGTACTCCAGGCAGATCGTGCACTGATATGGGGAGGCGCCGTTGTGGGTCCTGAGGTGCTTGATCATGGCAGAGTAGTCTCGGGACCGCTGGTGGCAGAGCTTGCACTCAAAGGGCTTCTCACCTGCAATTAGAGAAGCAAGGCAGGGGGCAAGGGAAAAGTCACCGATTTGGGGAAAATGACAACTCTGGGTGGCGCCTAAGCCAAAACCAACCCTTCTGTTTCTCAAGGGGTTCTGATCCCCTGTGAAAGAGGTTTCCATCGTTATGCCCCATCTTCAAGACTCTTGAGAATTCCTTGGGGGTTTTGGTGAATTTCAAACAAGGTGGCCAAGGGCGGTGTGTTTTTGATTCCCAGGAAACATTTCTCCAGTGCTCTGCAGCCTCCATGGCTGCCCATGCTTCCTGATTTGAAAAAACCCCAAGGGAGGAGGTTTACACTGGGCTTTGAATGAAACATGGGCACCCAGGGAGGCTGCAGGGTGCAGATATCCAAGAGATGTATTTTTGAATGAAAGAAAGGAACCTACAAAACCCCTCAGCCACCATTAAAAAGATCAGCATTTATGTATTTATTCATTGACTTAATTATTTACATTTATATTCCACCTTTCCTCCAAGGAGCTCAAGTTGGGGTACATAGTTTTCCTCCCCACCATTTTATCCTCAGAACACAGCCCTGTCAGGTAGGCTGGGTTGAGAGTGAGTGACTGGTCCGACGTCACCCACTGAGTTTCATGGGTGGTGGTGGGGTTTGAACCCTGGTCTCTCTCATGTTGTAGTCTAAGCAAGGCTGAGTACACTGTACTTAAAGTGTACTTAAATCCAACATTTTGTGCCGGGAAGCCTAATGATTCTTCAGAAAGCAAGGTTGAATTCCTCAGCCTGGTCAAATAAAATTTGAGCTATTTTGTTGTTGTTGTTGCATAATTCATTCTTTGCAAGTCATGGGAAGAAGCTATGCCCAGACTTTTGAGATTTCAGAATTGCTATAAGCACTGGAAGCTTTTTAAAAAGGCAGCAGAGATCCTCCCTAGGGAACTGTATTGTGTCCAATACCTCATTTTTAACCTTTTCTGTGTTCCTGGGAGATCACAGCACACAGAGAGCTGTGGCTAAATGCAAAAAAAAAAAAAAAAGGGGGGGGAGAGTACTGCAGGCCCTTAAGTGTTTTGTTGACTGGCTATGGGCTTATTTCATCTTTGCAGAGGGCTCAGGTTACCATGCAGATGACCATCACCTTTACAGCAGAGTTACTCGGTCTTTCCCGGAGAGATATGTTTCGATACTGTCCACGGCAGCCCCGATCGAAAGCCAAAGGGGGCTCCTTTCGACGCAGTAATTAACTGCCTCAGTCTTCTCAATATTGATACCTGCTCTGTGCACAGACAGAGCGAATAATGAAGTAATGAACAGCAAAAGTGATCTAAATATTGACCTGCTATTTATATTAGTTGTGGGCTGCTGAAGCACTCAGCAATTCGCTAGCTGGCAGTGAGAGATCTGGGTTCCACGGTACACAAGAAATCTTCTGTCTTGTATTCCAAAAAGTGGGGAATCCCACATTCAGCAGCAAAAGCATGGGGAAGAGGTGGATGAAATAAGGGAAATTGTCCTTAGGGCTGCCTATACAGAGGGCTGCCTTGTGTTGCAACCATGAAGGCAGAAATAGGAATATAGGAATCTGCCATATTGAATCAGACCATCTAGCTCAGTATACTCTGATGGACAGTGGCTCTATAGGGTTTCAAAAGAGTCTTTCCCAGCCCTACTTAGAGATGCAAGGGATTGAACCTGGGACCTTCTGCATGCAAAGCAGATGCTCTAGAACTCAGCTTTCACAAATGATTGCACAGAGAAGTCGTTTTCAGCTTCTTTTCTTCATCCCCCTTCTGATGGCACCCCTGAATGTCTCTTATGGAGCACACGTGAGTTGCAAAGGTTCTGGAGCCGAGGGCATGTGTCTCAGCTCATCTTGAGCATTTGTGTGGCCTTACAGGGGAGGGTGTGTGACACATCGCTTCTGTTCCCTGTTAAATTCTTGGGGGGGCATTTAGAAGTGGCATGGATGAGTTGCCTTTCCAGGAAGCTTGAACCTTCTCCTTGAGGACACCTGCTCAACTTCCAAAGGAATCCAAGGGGTGCCATTCAGAAATCGCAGATCAAGAAAAGCAAGGGAGCCAGCATTGTGCATGCACCTCACTTTTTTGAATGACAATAGTTCACTTTCACTCTGCTGCTTTCTCCATCCCCTTCCTGCCATGACACCCATACCTGTTCAGTGCAGATGGAGGGAGAAAAGACTGAGCTGGCTGCTGGTACCTCTCTCAGGAGTCTGCTTTTGGGCCAGGGGTTACCAGTCACTCTTTGTCACCCTGATCCCCAGTAGAATGTCATCTCCTATATATCTGGGGCTGTCCTGTATTATTATTATTATTATTATTATTATTATTATTGACTGCTCAATGCCTAAATTAGCTTCTAAGTGGTTTGCTAAATATAGCTTGCAAGGGCTAGCAGGGTGATATTAGGAAACGGTTGCAGAGCCCAATGAGAGTGTGGATTTTGAATATTGGTTCATCTAGCTCAGTACTTATACTGATCCACCTAGCTCAGTACTATCTGTTGCATCTGGCAGTAATTCTGTTAGGTAGAAAGACTCAAAGCTCAGTTGCTGGAAATTCTTTGCATTGGAGATGCCAGGGATTGAGCTAAGGACCTCCTTGCAATGCACGTGCCCTACAGCTGAGCAACAGCACCATCCATGCATACTGTATATGGAGCTGCCAGATTCCTGCTCCTACTCTCTCAGTATTTCCTGCTCTGACTGACAGCCACTCTCCACATTCTTTTCCAGCTCTGCTGCTGCCTGAGCTCCTGAGATGCCGAGCAGTGAACTGGCATCTTCTGCCTGGAAAGCCTGAGATCCACGGCTGAATCCTTTTCCTTACCTGTGTGGACCCTGTAGTGGGTCTCCAGCTGATGCTTGAGGCTGAACTTCTTGCCACAGCCGTTGCATTCGTAGGGCTTCTCTCCAGTGTGGATGCGCTTGTGGCCCTTCAGAGTGCTCTCGTCCCGGAAGCAGCTGCCACAAAACTCGCACTCGTATGGGTGGTCACCTACAACCAGATGGGGACTGTCAGTGGGGGAAGGCACAAGCTGGATATAAGTCAAAAGGGGGCCCAGGGATCATTCCTTGTCCTGACCCCAGCTAGAGCCCATAGCGTACAAGAGACATCTAAGGGTGGCGTAGTCCAGCAGGTAGTGTTGAGCTGGACTTCCAGCACCTTGGATAGCGCCAAGCAGACCTCTTGCTCTGTCAAGAAGAGCCTCCTCCATGGAAAGAAGATAAAGTCCCTACCAGAGAAGACTGGCAAATGGAGCTGTTGGACTATGCAGAAATGGCAAAACTGACCGGAAAGCTCAGGAACCAGGAAGACCAACATTTTAATAAGGAATGGGGGGAAAATTACAATTTACCTTAAAGACCACTGTAAGCAGTTGAAAACATTATCAGGACTGCAGTAACACTTGTAATGAAGCGAGAACTATGGATACAATGGAGTTATAAAAAACTTGGATTATTTAAACAAAGATGTAGTAGGAAAGGTTTAATAACAGAACCCAGGGAGGGGAAGGTGAGAAGTCCAGAGATTCGGGAGAATCTTGTAACTTTGGATGTGTAAACTTAAATACGTAAAACAAAACAAAACAAAAAAAATTAAAAAAAGAGAAGAGCCTCCTTTAGGTGTGAACTGTGTGGAAGGGAAGCAAGACTCCAACTCCACTCTTGACATCCATATATTAAGCAATTAGTTCTGAAGGGAGAGGTGGATACATTTGTATAGTCTCCTCCATATGATCAGGAGTCCTGAGCAACTGCCCCACCATCACATGGAAAAGACTACAGGTGTACAGCCAGCACCCTCTTCAGATACTTATCCAACATTCAAAGGTTGTGGCAGAGCAGGGATCTGACTCAGGGGGCTTCTTGATGACAGGATCCAGCTTAGAGCAACCATTCTTTCACGGTTGGCCTTCTGGATTCAGCTGTTCTCTCCTCATCTGTGTCAGAGTCCTGGCTTTTGGCCAGGGCTAGGGGTCACAGCAGGTTGAAAGGCGCGTACATGGGGGTGAGACAAAAGAAGATTCTGAATGGGTGGAAATCTGTGTGCCTCAATTAGCATTTCAAAATGGCAGCTGTGTGATGGCTCCTTTACTCTTTCTGTCTGCCATCGTTCGTGGGAATTAGCAGCTTCTCAGCTGAGGGGCT